CTTTCACCAAATCCTATGTTTCATATAGGTGAACTAGAGTGAAGGTGGAGTCAGGGATAGGTAGGCAAGGCAGTTTTTCAATAAGGTACATAATTACTTTGCTGAAATCACTGTTTCTCAAGCAATTCAATTTTTTTATTGTTGCATTTTTTTTATCATTGCCTTTTTATGTTTCAGCATCCGCTGTGTTCTGCTGTTCTGAGATCCCAGATGATGAAAGGTGCGAGGATATCCTTGGGAACTTTCTTCTTTTCCTGTTTCATCTCCCCGAGTGTTAGTGCAATGGAAAGAAAAGCATTGGAGATGGGAATGCAGTGTGATTATTCAAAATGAAATAAGTGCATCCTGAATGTAATTATAATAAAATAAACTTCTCAGAGTACAGATGTTACATTACATTCTGTGACTTGAAAAAGAGGGGGGGTGGGACTTAATTGATGGCATTGTTGATATGTCCCTCAACCCAACAGATCTCTGTCATTGGTCCATGAAAGCTGCCCCTGAGTTATCCCTGAGTTATTCCTTGTTCCCATCCTCAAGTTATCTTCAAAATATATTGATTTCTCTGTATCTCTCTTGCCACTCTAGGGCTTACATGATGGTTTTGCTGCTTCTACAACATGCTGGGGTATCATAAATCTTTGGAAAGCTATCTTGGGACATAGTAAGCCATTTTCTATCCTGAGGTCTTTGTACCATCCTATGCCTGTACCCATGAAATGTTGAGGCATAGTTCCTAACTTCTTTCAAACACACAAACACATTTAGGAAATCTTGCCATCTCTGCCCTTAGGAAGCATATGTAGGACCCTCTCAAAGGAACTCATCCATATCTACAACTTCATAACTTCCTTTCCAAGTCTTTTCTCTTCACCAAACCAGTATAATCATTACCTCATTGGAGTTGGGAGATTGGGAGAAGAGGGAAAAAGTTAGCTCCTCTTATCTGGTTTTTTTTTTTCTTAGCTCCTCTTCATCTGTTTCATCTGTTTCATCTGTCCTTGAGATATTTCCATTCTCCTTAATCTTTCACTTTTGAAACACAATTTTTGAAACAATTCTGTTTCAGTTGCAATATCCCTTCCTGAGATTTGAGCTCAGAAAGTCTAGTTGACTTAATAAGAGAAGGTCCAAAAATTGAAGAGAACACATGAAGATTTTAAGGTAAATATTTTAAATATAATCCTGCCAGTCTAGCTCTGTCACCTTAACAAGCCCTTCCCTCTCTGAGTGTCAATTGCTACATTGCAAAATGGGGAAAATAGGAGTAATGCTATAGGATGGTTTCTAAGGCAAGCTCACATGTATAAATGTAAAAATAAATGGAAACATGTCTAAATTTTTAAAGAATAAAATAATTAGAATCTAAGGAAAGGGGAAAAATAAAGCAAAGAATATTTTAAACTAAGAAGTTAAGAATAAAATTTATAGCATTTAAATATTTTAAAGAATAAAAAGGTAAGTAAGGCTAGGAGGAACTGAGTTTCAAAGGAATAAAATGATACTTATTTTAAATAAAATATAAAAGTGACTTAAAATCATGAGGGAAAAAAGCAGTAACAGAACATATTCTTAATAAAACACAAATAGAAAAAGAAAAGAGCTGGTAGCAGAGTTGCATCTTGATCAGAAATTTCAGGATGGAAATGCCCAGCCATCAAGGACAGTCCCTCAAGCTGAAAGACCACTGCACTTGTAGAGAAGCTTGGGAAGCAAGAAACACAAGACATACAGTAGGGCCAGGAGCAGGATGCACTTGGATAGAAGGCTTTTTCTTGGCCTTGACTGAGAGCCTCATGCCCCCAGACATTATTACAGAGACATCAAGTTGACCCTATTTTCCCCAAACTACCCAGCTTACATGTGAATTTTGGTCCAAGAAGGATAGAATATCAATAAATACTCATATCCTTTGCTTGGGACAACTGACTAAACTAGAGGGGGATTAAGATACAATCCTTAGACTCAATGCACTCTAAATTTCAGACAAATTTAAATTGTAAGTATAAAAATTAAATGGTAAAAATATTAAATTAAGGTAAGGGTAAATTTTTTTACATTAGGGTAAAAAGGCCATTCTAAGCATGACACCAAAGATGGAAACCATGGTTTACAACAGTAAAAATAGAAAAGCCTAAATTTCTAACAGTTGTGAATTGATCACATATTTATTATTTATCTGTATAATGTTATACCACAGATTTTTAAAGTGATAAAATAGTCCTCCTTTTGTCCACACAGAAAGATATCCACAGCATATTGTTAGATTTAAAGACAAATGTGGACACAAAACGCCGTTCACAAAACAACGCATATGTTATCTTGTTTTGGTGTATAAATAAAAACAAACCAACAAACAAATCTGGGAGTCTTTGTGTTGAATGTTAAAGTGGCTGTCTCTGGCTAGTAGGATTCTCTCTAGCTAGTGATGATTTGTGAGAAGACAGTGAGGTACTTTTAAAACATCTTGATTAGGAACATTACAGAAATCTTTCTCCCATACAGTTACACTTCTGAAATGTAGATCCAAATGGGCAGTATTTCTGAGGATCTTCCACATATAAATTGTCAAAGAATGACTCAAAGACATTTATTTATTTTGCAGAGTATTTAATTGTTTGCGAAGGAATCAGTTGGTCAGAGGGAATAAAGGAACAAAGGAAAAAATGAAACATAAATGATAAGTGACAGAAGGGAGAAAAAAATCTTCAGAAAGCCAAATCTGGGAACCACAAACAGCATTTGCATGTTGTCAGAGGTTGGGGTAAACTGATGAGCAAGCAGCTAGCAAAGTCTGAGAATTCTGTTTTTGAGTAAGCTTACTTGGACTGTCAAAGAAAACAATTTCAGCTGCTGATGAATTCTCCAGAAACATTGAGAGTTCAGCTATGGAGCATATGGACCAAGATGATGCTGTAATGCCTGCCAGTTTCCTCCCATCAGCTCCAACCCATTAAGGGGGTGTGCATCATTTCCTCCCTCAGATTTCTCACCTGGTAGGATCCATTCACTTCAGGTACCATAACAATACCTAGAGGGATACTTTAATTCAGGACTTTATAAAAATGGGGAAATGCATTGATTCATAATGGCTAAAATTGCATTACAGGAGAAAACAATGTAATTTACTAAGGTATATTTTGTATAATGGAACACAGATGCTGTAATGTGGGATTTTTATTTAAACTTCCAGTTTCTCCCTAATAAGGGACTTGACGGTATCCTAACCCACTGATGTAACCTAGCGCAGAATTGTCATCTTTTTCAGCAGTTTCTGCCATATCTCTTCTTTGTCTTAAAAAGAAGACATTTGTGTCAAAATTGTTACCTCCTCTTATCAATCGTTTCCTCTATGATTGACCTTTGAACAATTTTATAAAAAGCAGTCTTGGCTAGCTGTATTTCTGTATCTTTCATTATATATTTTCTACCTCATAGCTCTTAGGGTGTTTCCCTCTATTTTTAATACTCTCTTCAAAATGTCTCCAGTTATTTATTAGTGAAAACATCATCTCTTCACACACTTCTATTTTCTTTATGGCCAGTTGCCTCATATTCTATCTCCCCTAAGACAGTTGGGTAGGTTTTGTATCTTGGCTGCTTTGGGGGGAAAAAAAACCCAGATTTGAATCAAATAATTTCCCTAAGATACAGAATTATGAATTTCATGACATTTCTTATGTAATACCATTAAACATGTTTCTTGGATTTCAAGAAGTCAGAGTGTTATAGGGCCATTACTTCTCCTATGAGGTCACACTTTATAAATATTATCTCCTGATTTATCCTTTAGGGCAAGTCCTATGCCTTTCATCTCTTTATCTCCTGTAACTAATAGCACAAAGTAAGTACTCAATGAATTTTGTTGAAAGAATCAGAAAAACTAATGCTAAATTAAGAAGTTTTGCTCAATGCTGTAGGCTAAAACAATAATTATTTTCAGAGAGAAGGAAGGCAGAAATGTGGGAACAAAGGAGAGTAACAGTCTAAGAATCTCCAATCCAGAAACCTCCAGAATAATGAAGATGCAGGAAGAAGAGATCATGGAACAGAACTAGATAAGGGTTTGTATCCATTGTTATGTCTAAAGGTGAAGACTAAAAATTGATTTCCTGGTGATTTCAATTACTATCTATTATATATGATTGATGCTGGAGGTTCAAGGAATAATAATTCCTTTCATAAGTAAGCCACCAGAGTACAACTGAGTATTTACTAAATGCCAGTCACTGTGCTAAGTACTTCACATACATCACGTAATTCTCATCTAGGCTCTATGTGTTAGGAAATATTATCTCCATTTCACAGATGAAATAACTAAGAGAAATTAATCTGCTCAACATCAAGTAGTCAGGTCACACGACGAAGACCAAAATCTAGGCAATATAATCATGGAGTGAGTGCTCTCAAATCCTTCTTTTTTTTTTCTATTACCATTTAGCAAGGAGTTCATAAATATATAAGGCTACTACTAATTATTATAAATCCTGTATCTGCGGTATAAATAAATTGCTATGCGGGAAGTACAAAGGATATGATCTGGTGGTACAAGAGCTCCAAAAACTCAGTAGAGAGTGAAAAGGTAGATCGAATTCATTTCAGGTTGTGAAGGAAATGGAACAGCAGTGAACGGAAGAAATAGGCAGTCAGGGATTATTTCTCATGCTTTGAGTTTTAAAAATGAGAAGAGCTGAGGCTGGATGTTTCAGCAGCTCTGCTTTTAAAATCTGGCCTGGCTAAGTACATATGGATATGGATATGGATATGGATATGGATATGGATACAGACAGATACGAATACGGGACCCCTGACTGCCCAAGTGTACTTCCCAAGTTCATAGGGCAGAAGATCATAAGCTAGACTCAGCCAGCTAACTTCTTATCTCTCATAATTGGTCATTGGAAACCATAGAGATGGAATGAAGGTGGAAAAAAAACAGCACATATGATGTCAATCAGAGTTGCCTCCTCTCTCCTTGTCAATAATGCATGTCTGTAACAAACCAGCGAAGTGCTGTTATTGCTGATATTTTTGGCTGGGCCATAAACTAGCTGTCTAATACATAAAATTTATTTTTTCTGTCCTCTAATTTAGGTGTGAAGGAAAATGAGAGAAGTGAGTAGAAAGGGAGATTTGCCTTGCATTCTACTTATGTACTATTGGATTTTCTAGTATGAACATGTATAGCTGATGCATGTATATAAGTGATGGGAAAATGAAAGAAGTATACATGCAGTTTGTAAAATATATATATATGTATGGCCTTGAATTATAACTAAATAATATTTTTAGGGTATGAGATTGTGCTAAATTCTATACTAACTTTTAGAAGTTTTAGACATAGTTGTAGAAAGAGCAAGAGAAAATTGGATAGTTAAATGTAT